AGCAAGACATTTAAAAATTTTTGTATTAATGATGGTAAAAAAAGAAAAGAAAAAGCAAATAACTAGAGTTTTCTCTTAGAATGGGCTGTGTCCTTGGTTAAGACTCATCTACTCCAATAAGATCATCTGTCCTCTTTTCTTTTCATAGACACATCCAACCCAAACTGCGTTCTTGTCCAGTGTTGATCTTCACACTCACTGTTCCTATCAGCTCATGTTGCCGGAGGCGATTGCCATTGTGTGTTCACCAAAGCATAAAGAGTAAGTGTAAATATTGAGGGAAGGCAAGTAAGGGTGCGACTGGGGCTGCTGCATTCCAGTGTGTCCACGCTCCAGGTTGTGGCACTTAGGTACTAGGCAGACATACCGTGCTCTTGGGAAAAAGAGGGTGGTGACAGCCGGCTCCCGTGTACCTGTAGCTTTGCAGTATTGCTTTTTAAGACCTGTTCAGTGGTCGAATTTCGGGTTCTCTTTCTTCAGTTAACATGACCTTGAAGGATGAACTGGATGTTATTCCAGTTTGCCATTTGAGATCTTAGTTCTACTGCATTATTTCCTACTATAGGCTAATTTCCAGCCTTAGCTCAATTACCTCCAGTACCTTTCTAGGTTTGGAACACAATGATTATTGTAGAGTGATTGTAAGCAGAGGAGTCTAAACTTATATAGGAATCCTGTCTTCACCCTCAAGTGGTGTGTTTAGCAGGATACCTGACTACTGTGAGGCTCAGCCTCTTCATCCCTGATACCTGCCCATCACCAATTGATGTGAGGATGAAACTAGAAGATAGTCTTTGTAAAGGGCTTAGCATTATACCTGGCACTACAGCCAGCTCTCCATAAATATTTGCTGTTGCTGTCACCACTATTAGCATTACTAGAAAAATTAGAAATATCTTCAACCTGTAATTTCCTCCATGGGGCCTCTGCTTTGCCTGTGTGGTCTCTTCCCTTCAGGTGCTTGGAACAGCACTGGTCTCTCTATCATCTCACTCTGCTAGGCCAGTCATTGCAAGACTGGTTCAAAAAACCACTGCAGAATTCCTAGTTATTATGGCTTCTTCATCCATCCCATTTGAGGAATATGTATGCTTGTGTCATTCAAATAAAGCATCTGGAAAGCCAAAATGATTCTTAATTGTGTACCTTTATTTCCCCCTGAAACTTAGCACTGGCATCTTCAGGCTTACCAATGCCGGCATGCTTGAGGTCTCCACTTGTAAAAAGAAGGGCTTTCATCCACACACCAAGGACCCCAAGCTGTTCAGCGTGAGTAGACAGTGTTGGTTGTTCTTTGCAGATCTTTATTTTTTTACCTCCTCTT